TAGTAAGCCCAGAACTACAGACGTGTTGGGCTAGGTGAGATTAACTATTCCACTTTGTAAAACGAAACAACCCTATGGCTACTGTAACTTCAAAGCTCAGGCTTGTGTGCTCCACGCACACTGGGAATGCAAGGAATTCGGAAATATCTTTTTAAAAATGAGGAAGAAGCACGCATATTCACAATTACTACGAACATTTTTCGGTGTTATGTGTTCCCCGTGAAGCTCTCATTCATCATCCTTCCAGTGCATATCTTTACTGCACTAACTTCAAAAGTGCAAATATTGAGCTTTGGGAATTCCTCATATATATGAATTATTATTTGTTTCTCTCTTGTGATCATCATTTTGATTGGTTTTTCCCATAGGATTTCCTTATGGCCACGTATTCATGTAAATGATTATTTATTGTTCCTGTTTTTTGACCTGATATTTGACTTTTTAGTCTTGTGATTCTTTTTTTATTGATTAGTAATTAAATCTCTTCTATGTCCGCATGTCTACCATGAGAGGTGGGGAGGGGGCTGCAGGAATTCTCCGGCCTTTTTTATGTTCCCTTTGTCTAAAATTATTACCTTGTCCAAGTTTAAATTGATGCCCTTAGTTGTCTACACAATAAATTGGTATAAAACAATTCCGTGGTAGATTTTATTCGTCAATAGGGAGATCAGTTAGATATAGATTTGTACTTCTATTATTATTACTCCTTAGGGTCCCAAGAGGAACAAACGACTCCAACAGCACATCTCCACTACATCATGTTCTCTCTAGTCCTTTTTAGCTGGCTCCATCATTACCCATAAGCTCTCATCTCCTCCGTGTCACACTCGAACCGACGCCCAACTCGTCGTTTCCGATTCGTGTTCCACTCACTGGTCTCCTAAGCGTATATTCGATCAATCTCTATTTTCTTCTGTACATTTGTTGGGTTATGGATTCGTGCTTGGTTCGTTGCCAGAATTCCTTGTTACTAATCCCTTCTTATCGGCCAACTATTCCTTCAGTATCAAGCCCTCGAAGGCAACTGTTGATGAAAGGTTGCAGCCTGTTCTAAATGCTTCTTGTGAGACGTCAAGTCTCCGAACCATGTATAGAAGAACTGACTGTGACTTGACACCAGTGTTGACTATCCAAATTTTCTTCCTTGTGCTGAGTGCAGTAGGTTTCCACACTGATTTCAGATTAATAAAGATCTGTTTGGTTACAGGATTTCATCATTATCTGACATTGGTTAGAGATCCATTGGAAAACCTGGGAGTACTGGACAGCTGTTTCGTCCTAGTTTGGGACTCTTCATCAGTACGCACCCACCGGGGTTCGAACCCAGGACCTTCTGGTTACAAGGCGAGCTCGCATACCATTAAGCCACTGGGACCCAATCCAATGGCCCATGAATTCTAACTTCTGCCAATTCACGGTATAGCGCAACCCGTAGCCAATGTCCTCGGATATGCGAGCTCGCCTTGTAACCAGAAGGTCCTGGGTTCGAACCCCGGTGGGTGCGTACTGATGAAGAGTCCCAAACTAGGACGAAACAGCTGTCCAGTACTCCCAGGTTTTCCAATGGATCTCTAACCAATGTCAGATAATGATGAAATCCTGTAACCAATCAACCAAATCCCTACAAACCAATACTTGAATAAAGGTCTGTCTTGCCTCTTCAATCCTGGCTTTAATATTCTCATCGGTTCCATATATAGTTAAGACGATACTGCCTAGTCAGGTAAGTTAAAGCAGTGTCCTCGTTCAAATTTCTCCCGTTGATAGTGATTGGTTCTTGCTGTTGTTAGTTAGGTATCTTGATTACGTCTTTCTTCTCTATATTCACTTGGAATGTATTGTCTTCGCTGCTTCATCAGCCAACTTGTTGATTTACGTCTGCAGATCTACGAGTTTGTACGTCATTAAACATGTCACATATTCACTTGTATTAGTCTCAGTTACTGTGATTAATCTACAGTGGATATTAGAGAGAGAGAGAGAGTTGATAAGGAATCACCAGGATGGATACGCCTTGGAACTAACTTCATGCTGATTGATTTTAGATATGAAAATAAAAAAACAAAATTAAAAAGATGCATGAATTCATTATTTATTTTCCGTCTTTTTGTTTATTAACCCTCTTTTTCTTTTCTCCTCAAGGGGTTAATAAAAACTTCAAAATTGTTTTAACTTTCATTAATTTCATTTAATTTTCAATATTCGAGATAGTTGAATGTTTCATATTCCTGAATGTTTTTTTTTTGTATTTTAAATAGTCAAACTTATAAATTGGGTATAGGATTGAAAATAATAATAGCAATCAACAGGATATCGTGATGCTTACTGATGTTATTATTATTATTGTTCCCTTGGGTTCCTAGTGGAACATAGGGCTTCAACTGCACGCCTCCACTTGCTTCTGTCTTGTGCTGTACTTTTCACTTGCATCCATGTTAATCCATACTGTTTCAGTTCCTCATCACACGATCTCCTCCATGTCACCCTTGCACGTCCCACTCGCCGCTTCCCTTTTGGGTTCCACTCGAGGGCCTGACGCGCGATGTCACCCAACGGCCTCCTCAGCGAGTGCAGTACAGCAGTTCGAGTTACTGATGTTAAGCATCCCTTAACCACAAGATTGACTGAGTTTCAACGTATAGAACTTTGTACAGAATTGCACTACCCCACTCATAGTTGGGGTAGAGGAAAAGAGGAAAATGATATTCACAAAAGAAGTATTATAAACAGAAATGTGCGGAAGAGCGAATAACTACACAGGTGAACATGCGTACTTAATAGATTTGACTAATCGATATGCTTTTGAGCCATACCCTGCCTAGTTTACTAGTTCGCTAGTTTTCTAGTTGGTCCCAAGCCTGGAAAAAGAGGTAGGTAGTGGAGACCTCAGAACGTTATACAAGATAACCAGGTCTTTATCGGGGGTGACTCGCTCCCGTAGCCTTACTGGCACCTAGTGGATAGTGTGCTTTGGAGTTTGAAACGATTGGGTGCAGCGTTCGAGTCTCTGTGGCGGCGATAACACCACCACTCACTTGGAGGCATGCAGGCAAGTTCTAATCTGGACGAAATGCGCATTTTCGATTTCCTCTGCTAGCCACCATCAACCAAGTTATTTTTAAAGTCAATACACACTAGTGACAATTTGCTTTTTGCTAGATGTCAGTGAAACACCACGTGTCAACTTTCCAATTCATTCATGATTTCTAGTCACAGTTGTGATTGACAGTGCGTGTGTGTGTATTTGTCCATAGTTAACACTGTAGTGCTAATGATTTAATGGGATGGAAAATGGGTAAATCTGATGATTGATCGTTTTTCCTCTTCTGTGTAGCAGTAGTAGATAACTTAAAATGACTTAATATTGAATTTTATATGCATATAAATGAACACAGGGGAAAACAGGGTTAAAACAGTGGGGGACTTTCTTTCTTTCTACGTGTCCCCCTGTGTGTGCGTGTATTTATGTGTGTTTGTGTGTATGTATGTATGTATCTGTGCGCGTGTATGTTCTAATTATTGTATGCAATAGAAAAAAGTTGATACTTGTTGATCGACTTAAACCAACTGACTGAATAGCAAAACAAAAAAATTAATCAAAACGCGGTCTCTATATTTCCTTCCCATTTTTTTCGTTTCAAATAGGTACAAAGTTATTTCTCTTTGTACGAACTGAAACATGGACAAAAGTTATTGATTTGGGATAATTTAGGGGTGCTTTTGAGAAAATAAATAAATAATAATAAACAACAGCAATACAATGGTTAGTATACGTGGAATAATACTTCAAAATTAGTCATTGAAGTGTAAGCAGTGTGATGTTTTTTACTCAGTTTTAAGTCTTAATTGTATGGTAGCATACATACTATTGATTGATATGAGCAGTCGGTTGGGAACCACTCATGTCAAAACAGTAATGCTTACTAGTCAGGTGGAAATGACACCTAATCACCGGATAAGCTGTTTTACTCGTTTTTGACGGAGTTCTTTGTCAGTAGTGTGTGCCCAGTTTTATTTAGCTCACAGACCTGTGTCAGTTCAAACTACTTGAATTCTATCTAGCTACCTCAGCGGAAATGGTAACTTCTGTCAATTCGCGAGATGTAGCGTGACGGGCGACCGGTGTCGTTGGCGAGTATTTTACCTGACACTCCACCTAGTGGACCGCACTGGTCATGACTTCTCACTAGAGCTTCAGACAGCTTCGTCTCCTTTAGTTAGAATTATTATCAGATGTTAGTTCGTAGGGATTTGATTGGTTTCAAGTTTGATCAGGTTTGAAGGGTTCCGAAATAGGACGAATTAGTAGCTATCCAGTAAGTATTCCCTGGTTTTCAGTGGTTCTTCATCTGATAATAATCCATGATCAAACATAAAACTAATCAGATCCCCACAAACTAACACTTAGAAAGTGGTGACTACTCATAGCAACCAGTAGTTTGTGCCACTACACATTTACACTTGCCTCAACTATTGTCATTTATGGTATCAATTCAGTAAAGTAACAACCACCACTGGTTGATGTGAATAATGTCAAAGCGTTCACAACAATCAGCTGTATATACAGCTACCAACTTTTGATTTCTGAATTCCTAGTTGAATATGCTTTAGTGAATTCTTGTTGTCTACAACACAAATTACTTCACTTAATATTGTTAGTGATAAAACGAGATGTGGTACACTGCACAAGCAATGAGCATATGAGCTCCTTGAATGGATGCTTGTAATATTACCATGGTTATTAACCCTCAGTGTGAATAAATAAAATAAATCCTATCCGTTGCACCACAAGAGGTGGTTCTCATGGTTCAGTAGGACAATGACACGACGCTTTGACGTTTGAAGCAATGGATGATAGCTTCGAGCCACAATGTATAGCGCATCACCTACTGAGCAGCAGGTGAACTCAAATGATGAGTTTCAAACAGTACGAAGCGCGTCACAAGGTAACTTCGGATAATATTTTCTTCCTTTCTTTGTTTGTGTTATTTATATTACAGGATAGTAGAAAGACTACAGTGAGCAATGGTCCCCAGTCGACAGTGAGTCAACCACCTCAGTCGGTCGTCTCTGAACCTGGTGTAGCAGTTGTTGAACAACTTCACGCTGGTGGAGATAAACTTGCTAGTCTGTGTTTAGCAGCTGTGGGGAATGCTACGCAACAACAACATATAGCGGATGGTTCTGCTAAGCCTACTAGTCTAGGCGATTCAATGCATAAGTCAAAAACAGATCTTGCTCGTAGCCCTGGTAGTCGTTTGGAGTTAACAAATATCGAGTCTGGTGGTGGTGGAGGTGGGGCTGACGACCATGCTGGTGGTCATGGTCATGATCCTGCATTAAATCGAACTGGCCGGTGAGTATTCTTTCACTCATTATTATTAGTAGTAGTAATACCAATAATAATAATAATAATCAAATACTCGCTCTTGAAGCATTTTTCTATTACTAACATATTAACCTTGTGGTTCGAAGGTACTCTGCAACCAGTACAAGTACATCATGGATTCGAACCCCATTTCATCTCCTGAACACTTAAGAGTTGTTTAATATGGTTATCCTACATTTTTACTATCAAATCCTTCGCATAGTAGCTAAATTGTATTACTCTATGCATCATTTAGATTATAGGTTTCAGTTTTAGGGATTTGAATTTATTCCACCATAGATTTCTTCACAAACTAACATTTGTAAGAAAGATCACTGAAGACCAAGGGATATCGGACACCTGTTTCATCCTGGTTTTGGAACTCTTTAAGAATGTGCCCCCCCTTGGATCCTCCCAAGGATCGAATCCACGATATCTAAATCACGAGGTCGAACTCGCTCACCATTCAGCCATTCGGGCTTGAATTCAATTACCTGTGAATTCTAATTTCTGTCTTTTCGTGATATAACTCTATCCTCGACCAATGCCTTCGATGAGCGCTCACTTCACTTTGACGTGATGCGCCCCACTTGCCATGACTTCCTCAAGACAGCTTCAAAACATCCATGCAGTCAGCAGCCATCAATGAACTTCAGACTGATATTTAGATCATGTGGCTTTTTGTCGAGATAAGGATATTCCCTCAATATAGTTTTCGTAACCTGAAGTTCTCTGGTCCGATTTGTTGTGAAGTTGTGTGCGCGTACTACTGAAGCGTCACAAACTAGGACGAAATATCCTCTCCCTAGTAAGGCTACCAGGTTTTCAATGATCTCTGACTGGTTACGAAATTACTAACCAATATACAGAATACCTTCAGCCCTAATCCATCTTTATTCTTGCCCACTTGGAGATGTCTCACTGACTTAAACACTCAGCTTCTAGCCAAACAGTCCCAGGTTCGATTCCTGTTCAACCTACTTCATTTTGCCTTGGTAACTGGGTGGTGATAGTACCATCAGCTGTCAAACTTACAGTCTACTGTTAAACTGGAAATCTTATCAGGGTAGCTTGAAACCTAAGTGAACATTATTCTTATCTAAACAAGTTAATGAATCTCCCAATACAGCATTTATTCGAATGATAAGTCCTTGTATTCGTTTCTCCCCATCGAGTTGACGGTATTTTTCTTGACTGGAGATTGTGAATAAAATAGAATTCGGATAAAATATTTCTAATGTATATTTGACTAAATTAATAGCATGCTTGATCGATACTGTCAGTAATTTACTGTCTGTTCAACGGAAAACAACACTGGTGTCTACTATCGTTACTCATGGAGCACTAATCATCACTATCAAAAGGAAGAAGTCCAAAGGAAGTCGTCGCTTTCACTTATCTGGACAGGTGGCATCGTTTCGACTACAAACGGACAGCATAGATGAGGATGTTAAATTCAGAATCAGATCTGGAATACAAAACAGGCTTCATTACCCTGAAATCAGTGAGGAGAACAACAGCACTGTACACAAGAAACAACATCCTAATTTTTAACACTAACATCGATTCAGTACTTCTATGCAGTTCACAAACTTGGAACGCGTGTCACAAAAAAGCTTTCCCAAAAGACCACTTCAGACCTTCATCAACACATGAATTCGCTCGATGATATTAGAGATCAGATTGCCAGTCAGAGATGATAGGCAAGAAAAGAACGTACGCTGAAGAGGCCGCAGTCTGACATGATTCTCATGCCGTTTCCTATTCAGGAGTGCAAGACGATATTGCAATGCTGGTGCACGGATTCCTAGGGTTAATGAGATACAGTGAAGTGATTGTATGTACTGACCATTTCATTTCTTTGGGAGGTTCTTCCACTTCAATTACTGACGATGAAATCATGCCTCAGATATGCAAATTTCATTTGGCATTCACCGACATACTTCATCTTTGGCATCGACTACATATCCTCATACGCGTACAAATGGATGTAGTGTCTATTGTATGTCACTGCATAATTGTGAGGCATGAATACCGAGATTAAAAGAGATGAAAAGGAGTACAGTATTTTTTTTATCCATAAGCGTCTTCATCCAACTACTTATTTCAGTGGATACATATTGATCAGAGTAGACTTAGTGTTATGGAAAGAGGGTCAGTGACCGATTTATTTTTATGCTGGAATACAATCAGGAGAGTATTCAGGCTGAAAACATGCCATCAATCCATGAATTCACTTGCTGTTTATGTCTAAGCTCATTGGCTTAAATGACTGTCAATCATTAGGTTAGAGATTCGAGACTTGCTTCACTTTAAGGAGGGAGCATCATCATGCCTCACCTACACGTATTACCATCTCTATTTAAATCCAAGTGGATTGTTAAGCAACATTAGATTTAAAGATGAAACAACGTAATAAGCATGTAATCAGCACATGTGTCTAGAGTAGAATCATTAGTATCACAGCGTATTTTACACCATTATATAAATTAATTCTCACTTGTATTAGTTCCTAATATAGATTTTGTAAAGATTGGATCCCATTTGGTGTGTTGATGAAATAGTGTTCAGCCTTATTCATCGTAATAAGCACTGTATTATTATTATTATTATTGAAATAATAGAGAAGATTTGTAGCTCAGGTGGATGATTTGCAATTAATAGTGTTCTCTGAGCTGGTTGGTTTAGTTGCGAAGCTTTCGTCATCCTTCTGGACAACATATGCAGAGATAGTTACCAGGAGACGCAATTATATCACTCATGAAGGAATTTAAATCATTTCACTTTGTGCTAAATATGGCGCTGAAGATGTTGTCCAGAAGGACGACGAAAGCTTCGCAACTAAACCAACCAGCTCAGAGAACACTATTAATTGCATATTATTATTATTCCTTGGGTTTCTAGTCGGAAATCGGGCTTCAGCAGTACATCTCCGTACCATCCTTAATAATTCGCTTATTAAATATATCACACAATGAAATAGTATTATTTGCTAGGAAACGTTTCGAACACAAATATCTATTGTTCATAAGCAGTACATCAGTCATCATCTCCACTTCCTTCTACTTAGATTCTTGGTTGATTCGTTGCCAAGACTCCTTGATACTAATTCTTCCTGGCTGTGTGATTTTCAATATGAAGCCAGCGAAGTAAGGTGTTTATGAAAGTCTACAGTAGTAGTGTGGTGAGAGCTGTCTACTGGCCAAATTGGTAGACAGTAATTTACGTCAATGTTTACGTTCTCAAGATTTGTCGTGAGAAAATATGAACAAAGACTGATTCAAAACCGACCATAGCAGACTTTGCGTAGGCGGATACAGTTAACATATAGATGATCTGACATTCAAGAAACAGTCACAAATAGATGAAAGATTAACTTTGAGTGAGAAACAACCAATCAGAAGACTGTGTTTGTTTGCTTAACTATCTATAATAATGTATATGAAAATATATAAATATGCATTGATTTCCTTAATAAACGTTCTGTTGCCTGACCCTTGCCTTCTGTTGTTACAGCAGTAGTAGCCTTTCTGGAAATAATTTCCGTGACTCACACGCCAAGTCTCGGAAGCGCATATAGAAGAATTAACTGACTCGACATACATCCATTTAAGTTTCGACATTTCATAAAATATTTAATGAACGAAAATGTGTATTGTAGAAAGAATAATTACACATGAAGATTAATGAGAATGCAATGTATGTAGGAGATCTCACAACACAAAGCATAGTGAGCATCTCTGCTCTAGTTGAGAACGATTTTCTCAACTCTACCATTAACATTTTTGAGATAGTGATGGTTCTTAACGTTTCAAAGGACTCCACAGCCAAACAGTCTACACCTACCTACCTACCTTTTCCTACATGACCGAAACAATCAGTTTAATATTTTTTTAATAAATTGATGCAATGTTTTGATTTCACCTAAGCCTAACTCCTCCTCTCTGCCAACTCAATTTTCGCTGATGACATTTCAGTGATGAAGATGTTTTAATCGTAGTTTATTCATATGTATTCTTGAATTGATTATTCTTTACAAAGTGTTGGTTTTCAAGGGATTTGATTGGTTACAGTAATTCCATTATGGGTAAATTTATTGATGTTAAGTATACAGTAATTTGCTTTATTGCTATTGATATGATTATTAGCAGCAGTTGTGCTCGAAACGTCATCAGTAAACATTACTGTGTAACACTGTGAGACTTTATCAAAATAAAATTTACCCATAATGGAATTACACTCTACCACAGTGCACAAGTTTTATTCTTATATCAATGATTGGTTACAGGTTTGATCACGAGCTGACTTCAGTTAGAGAGAGTCATTGAAGGAAAACTTGGGAGAACTAGAAAAACGTTTCGTCCCAGCCTGGGATTCCTCACAGTACGCACCCGAAAGAGTTCAGCAAGTCAGGCAACAGAATAGTTATGTATATATATGCACTAAGAACTGGCAGAAGTTGGAATTTATGGGCCGTTGGATTGGGTCCCAGTGGGTGAACGGTATACGATTCTCCTTGTAACTGGAAGGACCCCTAGTGGAGTCATGAGTACGTACTGATGAAGAGTCCCAAACTAAGAGAAAATCACTGTTCAATACTGTCTGATTTTCAATGATTGTCTAACTGATGTGTTAGCTTGTGACCAAATCTGTAACTAACCTTTATATATATTAAATTAAATTTGATGGTAATAGCTGTTCTTTTTACTGTTTCCACTCTCTCTCTTTCCTTTTCCTATACATAATATACACCATGTGTGTGTGTATACTCAGTATTTTCGGTGGGCTTATACAAGATATTAAACGTCGTGCTCCACACTACATAAGTGATTTCACGGATGCTATACATGTCCAGTGTTGTGCAAGTTTTATCTTCTTATACTTTGCTTGTTTAACACCTATCATCACATTTGGTGGATTATTGGCTCAAGCAACTGGAGGTTACCTAGTAAGTTGATTCTTTTTATTATTATTATTATTCGGCCCGAAAATTCTCTTTTCGACGATTTCATTTTCATACCTGTACAATCGTGTATATATACATGAATTACAATAGACAATAACAATCAGTTCTCTTATATATATACTAAAGTATAATGATATTGTTGTTATGGGATTATGAGTCACGATTGAATTCATTAGATATGTGAATGAATAACTAAATAAATTTAGAATTTAGGGGTGACACTGCGAGTGAATGAAGTACTTAAAATTCGTCTGACGAGATCATTGAGAAAAACGTTCTTTGCTGCCACTTTACGAATAACCTACTCTAGCCGTCCACTGGTGCACCTTAATGTCAAGGAAATGTTACCTCGATTGTCTAATTCCATGTGTATTTATATGTTCACCTGCTCTTGCAGAGCTAGGTACATAAGACGTTCGTCGAGAAATATATCCCGCCGCCGAGTTCGAGAGCACCTCCCAATTTGGCTGAGCAAAGGAGAACGTAGAGGTATTAGTTCATCCATATTGCAACATATTGTAGATACTGACCACGACACAGCATCTCACACATCGTTCAATATAGTCTACAAAGTCCGACAAAATCTGCCGAAAGGGACACGAGTGCATTCGCTTTGTATAGCAGAGGCTTTGGCAATACATAACGTAACATAAAGCCAGAACTTTGTGTACAAAAACAATTTGTACGATCTCTTTCGTTACCATCCCATTGGCTTGGTTTTACTATACAATCGACATAACAACTTTGTTATACTTCTTTATTCCATTTTCCATTTTTGTTTTATTTTATTTCACTTAATGTTATCGTATTCTAACATTTTATCTAGTATAGTATTTTGACGACATTTCACTCATCCTATTTCGCCATCACATTATATTCACATATTCACATTTCCGAATGTACTTTATTTTCCGACGATCATCTATTTCACGCATGTCATCGATTGAACTTTAGGTTCACCTCTGTTTATTTATTTATTCATTCACACATATCTAATCAATTGTGACTAGTAATCCTATACACCAATATTATTATTACACCACTTTAGTATTTCCACTCACTATCACTCTCTACAATCGCTTTAAAACTAGCGTGGTTCACAATAATAAAATAAAATGCATGACAGTTACTCAGTTATATAAAACAAAAGGACATATGAAGGGCCGGCAAAATATAAACGATCGATACATTGATAGATGAGCTTCGACCTATACACTCAGTTTTATTAGCTAACGGTTATCCAGAAAACTTCATCAATTGTCACGGTAAGGATAGACCAAAACTAGGAAAGACAGCTTCTGTACCAAAGAAAGCTATCCTCATTAACCTACCATTCAAGGGTGATCAAATTATGCAATTCACAGCTCAAAGACTTCGGTCAGTCGTCAAGCTCACATTCTATGCCGCATCTCTTTCCCTCACATGCCAAACATTTTCGATCCCTGTACCTACGATTAAAGGACGGAATTCTGTGGACTCTACTTCACATTGTATCTACAAGTTCACCTGCAGCTGCGGTGACACTTATATAGGTAGAACCAATAGAATGTTCCAATGTCCGTTGGAGAGGACATATTCCTAAGTGGTTATTAAGTCACACAGAAAACCCAGACGTACTTAACCTGAATAGAAATGCAGGATCATCCATTGCAAAGCACTTATTAATGTCTCGTCACAAAGTCAATATTAATGACTGTTTCACAATTATTTCATCAAGGTTGGTTATTCAAGGTGATGAAAGCACTTTTGGGGATTAATCACATACATCCTAAACTATGTGTGTACAAAAACAATAGACTTCAACCTTCCTTCGCCTACCATGAACTGACTTCTTGACCTATTTAAATATGATTGTTCATTAGTATGTACTTTTGTTTTATGTAACTGAGTAATTGTCATGCCTCTTATATATATATATATATATATATATATATATATATGGTTTGTTGTAAAGATTTATACTACCTTTGAACTACCAGTGATTAGCACTAGTATTACGTTTGTAAGTATTTTCGATGTTCAACAGTTGACAGCTACCAGTCAGACGCTGCATGATTCTTTTAACTACTATATCGTTTATGTTAATGTGAATCTCCAAACAAATTAAACGGACTGCATTATCCAGCTAATTCATACAGTGTATCTTTAAGCTAAATTTTAATAGAAAGCAACATTGCAATATTGTCCTACACTTAATAAATAAAACCTCATTTTAATCATGCTCCGGTTCCCACTTAAAAAGTCTGACTCCAATCTATATAATGATGTAATTCATTAAATATAATAAAGATATACGTCGCTGGTTTATTGGTTGAATGCTCGCCAATTACTCACATGGTCCAGGTTCGAATCCTGGTCGACATACTTCTAAATATCGTCTAACCGGTAGTGACCCCGAAATTAGAGAGAGAGAGAGGTAGTAGAGCGTAAGGCCAGTAATCCCCGCTAAGGTAAAAAGATATTTATACTTCAGCATACTCAGGAGGATTAATTAACAAATTTCTAATTTGATTTATACTAATACGGGTCCGCCTGAGTAGCTGGTCAGGAATCAGGTGGCTTGAACTGATTCGACAATGGGAGCTGAATCGAATCGGGTACAGTGCTAATGAACTCGGTCCAAAACGAGCGAATTGGCCGTTCGGTGTTTAGACGACTTCTCTCTGGCTGGCAAGCACTAATAGTTGGTGATGTGGGTGGTATACGACTACTCATCTCAGTCAATCAGTAGTATATAGGATAATAGAAAGATTAGTCCTTTCGACGTTTTTCACTTAAGAATCGTGTCTTTTTTATGGGACTTTCGTCAGATTTAGTGGTGAAACACTTTTAGACTTCATATTTATTGGTAGCTAGTGGTGAATCTATGTGTTTTGTCCTGTTTGAGGATACATCAGCTAAATCTGCTTCTGGTATATCTACCAGAACTTCAACCTGACCCTCGTAATTAAAATATTTTTTATCTATGTTAGAGGCTAACGAGCTAAGTTTTGTAGCACAGGGTATGATTTTTGATATCATTTGTTTACACTTGTGTTTCTATTACCGAAGAAGTAAATTTAGATTGAAAATCGAGGCCGTTTCGAGGTATCCATCCATTCAATGGAACTCATATACCCCAAAATTAGGACGGATCAATTTTACTAAGAAATATCCACAATGAAATAAACACTTTTAAACTATTCCACTTTGTGTTTTTTCTCTCATAAATATATCAATGAGTTGTTTTCTGCTTTTTTTCACACCAAAGGTATCTATAGCGTGTTTCTCATAATTAGTCTGACCATCAGTTTTAGTTACTCAGCTCCTGTCTTTCCCCTAATTCACCTTGATTAGAATGAATGGATGGAGAACAGCACTCATTTGGGGGGGGGGGAGTGTATCTAGCAAGATCATAAATGGAAAGTCACGTCGTATTATTCATTTGAATGATAGCTGGTCATTATCTCTCGTCATTCTTGAAATAATATTGACATAGTTGGCAGTTGGATCAAACCTCGGATGAGTATTCGACCACTGAGCCGCCATTATACATATATATATATATATATATTATTGCTTCTTTCCAGTGAAAAATGAAGAACTATTTTTAAAAACCATATATATTTTTCACGAATTTTCAGATAGGAATTATTATTATTATTATTACTATTATATTTTAGGGGACTATTGAAAGTATCCTATCGGGTGCTGTTGTCGGCATATCCTATGCTTTATTTTCTGGACAACCGCTAACTATTATGGGTAGTACTGGTCCTGTACTAGTATTTGAAAGTATTATCTTCAAGTTATGCACGTGAGTGGTAAAATGAATGAAAAAAGTTTTCTTATTATTAGATTTTTTATTTCGTCCAATGTTTCTTGATTTACCTCCGATGGAGTGGCAGGAGGGAGGGAAATGAGTGGTTACACATGACTTAAGGTACACACACTTGTACAACAATTAGTTGTTATATATATATATATATATAGAGAGAGAGAGAGAGATGTGGCTTTTCATTTTTATACACATCAATCAAAGCATCCATAGTTGGATTTAAGATTTTAAACAAGTTAAAATGATGGAATATCCTGAACAGCTGTTTCGTCCCAGTTTGGAACTCGTCGACAGTACTCTCCCGTCGGGTTTCGAATCCAGGACCTTCCTGCGACAAGGCGAGCTCGTAGACCATTCAGCCACTGGGACGCGACTCAATGGCTGGTGTGTGAATTCTAACACCTACCAGTTCTTGATTTTAGCGCGACTGGCATCAGCCAGTGTCATCCATGGCGAATATTTTTCCTCGCTTTCGATAAGATGGATCCCACTGGTTGCAGCTCCTCACTAGTGATTGGTTACAGGACAGAGTCTCCTGGAGTTCCAACTGTAAGTGTATATAATACAACTGTATTGCCAAATGAGGAAGTTGTCGAAAATGTGAATATCTTTTGCTCGACCTTTCTTGTTTCTATCTTGTAATTGTCTGAATAGGAATTTTCGCAAAAATTATTGGATGTTCAAGGTCATTTAATCATATAAGCGGTAGAGATCGTTCTGCTATTTGCTGATCAAGCACCAATCAGCGACGTCCATTCAAGGCCTTTTGTTTCTTTTTGTTTCCACACATGATTGGTTGTTAAATATCAGAATGAAGAGAAGAGGAAAGAAAATTTAAGTCTGTCTCCTTATTTTATAACAATGTGATATTTTAAAAAAATATAAAAGTGACATTGTAAAAATAGTACTGCAGAAACTTATTTTGATTAGATGCTAGTTGTTGTATTTTCTAGTATTTATGGTCTTAATTGACTTTAGATTCACATTTAAAATTTTAAGACTGATTATTATTGAACAAAGAATATTTACTTGGGTAACTTCTTCAGGTTCTTTGGCTTTATAACATCCATAATTACTTGATCAATTATTGTTATTAACAAGATAAATTGGCGACGCGACCTCGAATCTCAGAAGGGATATGAGTCCCTTCAAGATTGCAGATACGCCTTGAGGAATCACGACTGCCAACTAGCACGAAACCCAGGTGTAAGGCTTCCTACCGATCGCCTCCAAACATTTAATATCAATAATTCCAAGTGTACAGTGATAGCAAGCCACCTAGAATGATGGCTTGACTGTGATAAAATTCAGTCTGCAGTAAACAAAGCACTAGATACATTACACCACTTACTAACTAGTGTCCAATCAAACATTTCTTATTATTTTCTAAATGACATGGAATCAATAATATCAATGGACTACAGTTCTTAGGCATCTTTGAATCAGGCGTCTTAACCTGTTGGTTATTATTTTGCTTGGTACATCACTTCCGAATTGCAGTTATATATATATATATATATATATGCTTCTTGTTCACATATACAGAAGCATTCCTTTCTGCTATCTTGGCCATGTGTTTCATGATGAACTAACTTGTCAGAGTAACTGTTTTTAATCATGCATCGGTAGCACAGTAGTAGAATGCTCACCAACCACGTATGTGGTCTGGGGTTCGATCCCCGGTGGGGCACTCCTTTACCTCGTTAAGCCAGTAATAAGACTGGTAAGGAAGGAAGGTTGGGCGTGAGGCTAGTAACCCTAATCCCGTAAAAATAAAACATCACTGCTACTGAAACTTCAACCCTGTAGCTTGAATTCCATATTAGTTTGTTTATTAGGTATATCACACAGTGACGTTTCGAACAAAATTTATTGTTCATAATCATATCAATTGTGATCACACGACTTTGACACTTGAGTTTTATAGCTGTAGCTTGAAGCCCTATGTTCCACTGAGAACGTAAAGGAATAAGAAAAATTTCAATTAACGTTACGAATACAGCCTTAAGTTCGTCTTTGATTCGACCTTCTAAAGGAATAGCTGTGACCCTGTAGCTGGAAGTCTATATGAATATGGTTACCTTGGTCTGCTGTGCAACCTATGAATTCATAAATTCTATATTATTTTTATTTTAGTGTTATATTGATGCATATTATCACTAACTGATGCTTTTGAACTGTAATCTGTTCATTTTATTGATTCGATATTATTTAGAAAACATTTAACGCTACTGTCAATAACAATAATTCTCTAATTAATATGGACATATAACTGTAAAGCCTGATGAAACACAGGTTATCTAAAAGAGTATTATTTGTTCACTAACCAGTCTTTAGGGTCTTAGCTAATATGTAGTGATACGTTTGTTGGTTAATCAGTATCAACGAAGCTGTGGCCCACTGATGCAATTTATAGAAATGGTCTACCGTCTAACCTGTGTAGACTGAGAGTATCATCAACACCTACACACCATAATACGTATTTACGCTTCATTACCTAAATACGTGTAAATACTGGGAAATTTTAACCTGTGGCACATTAACTGACTGACTTCCAACATAGAACTTTATGCAAAAGTACAGCAAATGAAGTTAGCACACTCCATGTAGCACACAAAGGTAGGCAAAAGAGAGGAAAAAAGAAATTCAAACGAATTATAATGAACAGAAATGTTAGGGAGATAGTTAAGTAGCATGAGAAGTTCCATGGATAGGGGAAATTACAAAGAAAGTGAATGTATTTACGCGATTGAGAACGTTTTTGAGCCATATAACCAATAGTCCTTAGCCACTGCTTCTTAGCAACCCGAGGACTCCTCCAACCAGGCGTTCAACAACTCCCTGCATATTTCAAATCAGCATTCAAAGACGTTATGGCTTTATGTGGGGTTTTGGTTTAACCACTGCCAACTGTATTCCAACCTAAATCCTATGTCAACCTAACCTCAATATTGCTCACTACTTGTATTCAACCACTTAACACGTGAAATAGAACTTGTGACACATTGGTGGTGACGGTTGACAGTTGGTTGATCAAACTAATAAGCTATATGTCAATTTAAAAATGCAAAATAATGAACTCCTTTTTATACTACTATAGGCTAGAACAAAGTGACAGTACTAAAATTACCTCAATCTAGTAGTGTATGTGCGTATATATATGTGTGTGTAGTTTGCAAGGTTAAGAAAACAATGTTTTATCGATTTAGTGATAAACCTAGTAAAAAAGCCTATCGCCTGAATTCGTGTCTTGTAACATGAATGACTGAATCGAGATGCCCGAAACGGAAAGAGAATTGATGTGATGCGACAGCAGAGCTTCAGGGTTGTCACACACTGCCTGTTTTTGAGGTAGTTTTATTTAGGGCTGTGTCCACCGCCACACCCAAGGGACCTGTGAAGGGTAAATCAGGATGGATGATTTTCGGGTCTAACCTTTTCTAAGCCTCTTCCTCAAAGTGAAGAAGCAGCACAGTTGGTTTACTAACCATCTTAGAGTAGCATTTTACTGCCGTTAAACCCTTATTCCTTAGTAATACAACTTCTCCCCTAGACCAGCAAATTAGTGTGAGGCGATGGTGATAAGTTCTTTTGGTCTAAACTCTATCCAAAAGACCTTTTGGACATTGCACTAGATATTACTATACTATACTATACCATGAATTAATTTGTTATCATTGTTACAGAGTAATATCATGACATTCTCCATGCAATTATTCACGTAGAATGATTACTCCTGTCGTTATCACGTATATCCCTTGCATTGCGAGTGGGTCAGACAGAGTCTCAAACTCTTTCAATTTACAGTAGGTGTGGTGTGGTGTTGTTTCTTTTCACTAACCCAACCTTTCCTCTTCACCTGGCTTACTACTAGATGGTAGGCAAGGATAAGAGAAATCCTTCTGGACCACGTGTGGTGGCGTCGCCATTGGCATTAGCACTCCACTATTGAAGGACCACCGATGCACACTTTATGTGTGTGGATATCAGCCTTAGTTATTATTATCAAAAAAAATCTTTTTAATCTGTTAATTAGGCCAAAATGTGAATGAAGTTTTAATAAATCTCTCTCTCTCTCTCTCTCTCTCTCTCTGGTTCTCCAATATGGTCAATATCTTAATTTGTTAAACTCAAAAATAAACTATATATATATATATTCGGTTACTACCAAATGTTAAAATTTATTACTGTACAAAAGTCTTATTTGATTCAGTTATCTGTGAAAATTCATTAGAGCCTGTAGAGAGAGAGAGAGAGCATACAACGCCTTTATGGTTAGTCATTTATCATGTATATTAATAATAACAATAATAATAATGATAATACTGTTAAGCTTTCTCTTTAACCTTAAACCACTGTGTTAATTACTGACCACAATCTAACTACTCTACTCTACATCCTCTAAACAACTATCCATTCACTTAAATTAACTAACTATGAGGCCATTTCTCTTAACAATTTTAAAACACTTTCAAGATGTAAAATAAGTATAGCGCTATTCTTTGTTTTTGTTGTTTGTCCCGAAGTTTTTGTGTGCGTATCTGGCTTTCCCAATGTTCAAGTGTGTGTACGTACCCTTGTGTTGTGTGTAAGTACGTGTGCGTGTGCCCGTGTCCTCTTGTATGATTTCTACTCTAAATAAAATACATTGTTGTTGGTGTTGTTATATTATGTTTTGTATAATTTGGTGCTATAATGATATAAATATTCTCTTTTTAACCCGATAAATTTCTTATTATTATATTGTTATTATATGCATTAATACTGGGTATTATAGGCTCTCTCTCTCATGTTGAAATATGACTGACTCTAAAGTGTCATTTAAATAACTGAAAGGAGATTTCCGTGTGTGTGTGAATGTGAATGCCCCTATTTGATCTTCTACGCTTTTAATTATACTGTGCTGTATGTTTACACAGCATGTCCATATATCCTATGTAATGTGTAATCTCTTTTCATCTTTGATCATTGTTTCATTT